GTACCACACACAAATCCACCCAAAAACATTTTTTTTCAGTCATTGTTTCTCTTATTTGGTACTGCAACGTGATAGGTTTTCGGTGATATTGGAGTTCGTTGTTGGTTTCCTCATCTGCCTAGCCTGCACGACTAAGTTCACCTTGCAGCGAGAGGGGAAGACTTACCAGGTAGGGGGTCTCCTTGTCTGCATACTCGTATGTACCTACAATGTGTAGCTTGTACTCGGTATGGATTATTTGCCGGCCGAGCCCCGCGTTACAAGGTGGAAGACCAAGAAAAGGGGTGGACTTCAAGTGGCTCTGGAAAAACATGGGTGCCTGGAAGGTGGTGGCCACGTGCAAGGTGCCTAGAGGGTGAGTCGAGTCTCTCGTTCTCACTTGTACTCGGTAGATACGAGCACAAGCATGAGGGAACCATAACTTCCCACGGTGACACACTGAGGCACTGAGGCACTGGTAGTTGGTGGTTGGTGGCTGGTGGCTGACTGCAAGTGATTGCTTCGTCCTCAACCAAGTACCGAGTCCAGTAGTAGTGAAATCTCCCCCCAAAACATCCCGGCCAATGTCCGCTTTTGTCCCCCTCCACCGTGAGGCGAACAAGGCTGAAGGGGCTTCTTATTTATTATTATTATCATTATCTTTCCTCTCTGCCTGCTATTGGAAGACAAGTCCGATACCTACGAGTAACCCCGGTCCCCCCTACATCCAACCCTAACCTCCCTAACCTCAATCTCGTCTCAGTAAACCACCCAGTGTGCCAGCGCTCACCAAGCCGTCGTTTCTGTCTAGTTTTATCTCTCACGCAGTCGCATTTTGTGGTCGGACTTTGACCTGAGGCTGTGAGAAGCGCAGCCGAGTTCAAGTCATTCTCCTCCCTCCGGCGTTTGTGGCTCCCCAATTTCATCTCGCCTTGAGCCGTATTCGGGTCTTCTAAAATCAAACCATCAGCTAATTAGTGTTTGCGGTTGCCTGTAACTCCCCCCTTTATCGTCGTTCCGGCGCCACGGACCTTTGAGCTTGTCATGAACTTCTAAGCAGTAGAAAATACGAAAGTCGACCGTTAGCCATAATTTATTGGTTTCGTCCTCCTGCTCCTCCTCCGTCGTCCACATTCTCTTTGTGGATGCCATTTGGCTTGCTCGGAAAGTCTGTGTATTTAGACAAGAAAATTGATTGACTTTGCAGACTGCAATGTTTATCGGAGCTTACGAGTACAAGTCTTCCCAGGTCTGAAGCCAAAGAAAGCAAATCCCCCACCTTTTTCCTTGTCAGGGATCCTGATCCTTCTCGGTTGCTATTGTGGTAGCCGTCAATGCGTCATTGCTGAAAATAACACAACACACAAAAGGCATTATCATTGACACCTTTCGGCAATAAACAACATGACCTCGACCACGCAGTCTTGGGCTGCTGCTACACAATCATGGGCGTCGTGGTTGCTCGACTCCTACGCTTCGTCGGTCTCGCCCATGGCCACTGACACTTCCTTTCGACACAATGAAGAGTCCCACTCTACCTCCGAGTACTCCTCCCACGACGACGGCCATTCGTCTGTGTCCTCTGTCTCCATGTCCTCCGCCTATGGTCCCTATGTTAAGACTGGCCGCGGTGGCGCTGGCAACTTCACCTGGGAGACGGACGTCCAACTCGCCCCTCGATCTACTTCGCCGATTGATCTCGAAGCGAATCGGCCACCACAACATGGATCCCTAGCAGAGCGCCGCAAAGCGGCAGCTAGGCTGGAAAGCATCAATACGCATGATACGAGGCCCTTGCGCCAGCACTCAGCTCAGTATCTGTCTGCTGGGCGTGGCGGAGCCGGGAATCATGTTGTTGCCGACGTGAAATTTCCTCAGCGAAGCCCGAGTTTACCAGCCAGTTTCACATCTCCCGCTCAAGCGAAACCTCCTAGTCCACAGAGCCAAAATCTATATCCCGCCGGAAACGCCGGAAGAGGAGGAGCTGGTAATTACGCAGCAGCAGCAGAGACCAAAGGCCGGGTTGAATCAGAAAAGGATCAGGAAGAGAGACGTGCCGCAGAGCAAAGAAGAGGCCAGATTGCTGAAAAGGTAGACGGCTTGCTACAACCTCCTCCAGGCGCCTGGCTCGGTCGGGGACGAGTGAAGAGTGAGTCGATGTATGAAGATGTTTGAGTTGCCTGCGAGATTCTTCTGCAGACGGAACTTTTGAAAGATCCACTGGCTGGTGGACCTTACCAACATGCTTCTTGGACGCCTGATCTCGCCTCTCACAGTTGATGAGACGGACAATCAGGGTCAGCAATGAGCCAATCCTCCGACACACTACCGGGCAGGCCAGGCACCCCCGCGAGGGCCAAAGAATGGATATGACTTCCCAAATCGAGACTCAAAACTGCCCTAGTGCAGCATCGGGATTTCAGTGACGGCAGTCGAATACGCAGCTCTCGAGTTGGACCCAGCAACGAGATTGACACACCATCAGCCTAATGCGTCTATGTCTGACGTTGTCTTCGATGGATAGTTGTCAGAGTGGTACATACGGCACCGTTTATGCGAGATCTGCATCGGTGACGTTATCGCAGGCTGGGAAACTTCAACTACTCCCAGCCCAGGACGTATGGCTCTATCTATAGACATGATTTGCGCAAATAGTTGGTTGTTACCCCCAAAATCTGACAAGAACAGGCTTTTTGAGGTGTGTCAATGGACCAGATTCGGCCAGGCAATGACGTGGGAGTGCTGCTCAGAAGGCATGCTGGGCAGAGACGCGAGCATCCCTCAAGAACGATGAATGATATTGTTCAGACTTGGCATTAGCCCAGTCAGCTTCCGATGACTCTGATGGAGACGACTTTCATCTAGTGCCTTTTGAGATGAACCAGGCAGAATATGTGAATATACCCTGCTCAGCCTATTCCATGTACGATACGAAGATGAGGTGAACCAAAGTCTACGTTTGAGGAACCGTTGGACGAGGGTAGCTTGGTACAAAGGACTACCAATATGAAAAGTCCCTAACCAGCGCGGGTATGTAAAGGAGGCTGTGCTGTACATATACTACCACAACCACGTTTTCTTCGAACCCTTCGAGTGGTTTGAATGGTCCATCACCTCCTGTACCTTTCGGCCGTCCAATAGCTCTTCGACACAGCCTGAAGGCTGTACTCGGTACCTTGGTGCGCACTGCTATTGGTCATCCGTGGCAGCATGCAAGTGGTTCGTTTCCAGAAGCCAGGCGAGACCTGCAGTGGCTACTACGGCCACAGCCGCACCCGCAGCACCATCATTATTTGTTCTGCGCCAATGCCCGACATCTAATGAGAACACAGTTCAGCCTCACCTTTGCGTCGGACTCGGACATTTATCTTCCAATATCTCTGCTCTATACTTGATATGCGTTCCGCCGGAGTTGATCCTTGTCAAGGTCTGTCACAGCTACAGTATCTGATGCATTGATCATAAGCTCGCGGACAACATCAGCAACGAGCTTTGCCCGAGTTGGTCGGCAGCCTGAACCACAGAGAAGTCTCACCAAATGCTTCCAGAAACTTATCTACATCGAATCTGTCAAAACGTTGCATCAAATCTGGTCACTCAGTGATCTCGGGCAACCCCAGCTGGAGACAGCATGCACCTGCTCAATCTACACAAAAGAAAACTAGAATATTTCTACCCTATTGTGCCATTCTTTCGCACACTTGGGGACAAGACGAAATATCTTTCCAGGATATCGGTAAACCAGGCGTGGAAAGAAGAGCAGGGTATGAAAAAGTGAGAAAGACCTGTGAGATCGCAGCCGACAATGGATTCGACTATGTCTGGATCGACACCTGCTGAATCTAGGAATGCCACCCCAAGTGACCGTGCCCTGCGAAAGCGACGGCAATCTGCCTCCTGAAATGATGGGCTAGTACATAGCTCACAGAACAAGATATACACTTGAAGAATCACATTTTCAACTCCTTGAGGCATTCCGGTCTGAATAGGTGCGGAGGGTGAGGTATACTCCTGGAGCTTGAGCGTGGATGATCGATTCTTCAGAAAGGAGTCGATCCATCACACTAATCTCGGACACACTCGTCGTACCCAGAGATCCGGCCACCTATTATCGAGACAGTAGCCTCACTTACAATCTCATCGGGAACCACACGAATGATGCAGGTCATGCTAATGGCAACACACAAACATCATCATACCGCCCTGTGGTTCTTGTCGGAGGACTTGCATTGCTCCGAAGGGACACGCTAAGAGACTTGGCGGTCTTGGCAAACCTCGATCGCTCTCGAAGCTGCGTCTTTACATCCCTACCGGCTCAAGTCACGTGAGAGTCATACCCTACATATTACGGAAATGAGCTTTGCCATTTCAGGCGATTAGGAAAAACCTCGCGAGCGATCCAGTTTCATGTTTGCGGAAGTGGAGCAACTGCTAGGGAGGGCACATCTTCATGCTTCATCAGCGACATGTCGGCTACGTGGAAGTTGCCCTTGCAGACTGCAAATCGCAAAATGTCCTTTCTTTCCTTCTTCGGTTTATTCACTCCCAGCCATCCTTGTGCTGACAGGACGAAATACTCTTGAGGGATAGGTTTGGATGCATACTTGTTGGCTGAATACAGGGTCCCGAAACGCTATACCATGGGCAGCACCAAACGTGGCGAACCCAAATCTTCCCATGATTCACACCCTACTCGGGTTCGTACAAATACGACAAGCACATCTAGACACAACGCCAAGACATCGTCGGGGTGCTGGACTTGTCGAATGCGCCATCTCAAATGTGATGAGAAGAAGCCATTTTGCCAGAGGTGCAGCAAGTCTGGACTGGCCTGTGGCAGATACGGTCTGAGATTGAAATGGGCAACGAATACTAGTACCAATACCAATGCAACAAGCTCCTCCTTCTCCTCCTCCTCCTCCTCCTCTACTAGGTTTCCGGATCGTATCATACCTCCCGTGCCAGTACAGCTGGAAGATACCGAGGCGCTACGAAACGTTTCTCCAATCGACATCAGTGGTATGCTCGACACGCTCGAAACCACCACGGATGAAGCTACCTTTACCCAAACCTTTGGTCCATTTTCAGTATTTCGTGTAGAATCTCGCAGCTCGAAACCTCTGGGACAAGCGCTTACAGGTGTTAACGACAACAATCACCCTCCACCTGGTCCTGAAAATGGCTCTGAAGGAGTGTCGAGAAGAGAGATCACAACGTCTCCAGAGCCTCACAGAGATCATCACCCACCAAGTATGCTGCGTGGCCTAGACGCTCTCATCCTACCCGGCTGCAGCAGAGAACTAATCCACCATTGGATGACGTTCTTCGCTGAGAACATTATCGTAATAGACACGGCCTCAAACCCCTGCTGGACTGTCGCCTTTCCCATGGCAATGAAGGGAGTCTGCGACATGACCATGAAGCCGAATGGTAGCACCGCTCTCTTCCACGCATTATGTGCAGTGTCCGCCCACAGTCTTCTACAACTCAAGGGGCCTAGTTCTCGATATCTCAAGCTTGCATTACAACATGAGCAAGCCCTCTTTCAAACCCTTCGACACTTCATATCCCTACCTCAAGATGGCCAGACAGCGGCCGAAGGGTTCGACGGCATATTGATGGCCATATTATCTTATATGGTGAAATTTTCCGTCTCAGGCCAGCCAGGAGAGTGGCGACATCATCTTCGCGCCGGGCTCGAATGGTTGACTAGTCGATGCACACGAGATCATCCTCGTGGCCAGTCAGACCCAGGGGTTCATCCCTGCATCACGTATTTATTCTTATGCGGTGCCGTCATGGGGAACGTGGATGTTTCTTCCGACACTTTGGTCGCTCTGAAAATATCATCGACATATGACGGTGGCGACCAAGAAGAAGATCAAGACGACGCAGTTCCGGTTTTCGCCATGAAGCATTCGACATTTCGAAACATCATTCGCATCAGCGAGTTGCGCCGTCGTGCTCGGCAAGGCTGGCAGTCGCTCGATCTTCACGAGGTCGAGGTGCTCGAAAAGCGCGTGTTGGCGCAGGTTCCCAAAGATAGCCACAGTCAGCCGTTTGAACCTACACAGACACAGACACAGACGCAGACACATGCACACACAGTCCCACCGACTCCCGAGCATGAAAGTGATTTGTCATGGTCGCCATCAGAGGCGCGAATGCCCGGACAGATTCCCTGCAAAAGTCAAGTTGTGTCCAAACTCAGATCGACACACACCCCCCATCATCAGAATCAGAGGGAGCAAATGGCTCGTCACCTGAGCAATGTCTACGAGTACGCGACCTTGATATATTTCCAACGAGGACTTTTGAAGATGCCACTGTGCGCGACACAGAGGTCCGTCGAAAAGGGCCTCGACAGCATCCAGGCCATGGAAGACATTAGCAACAATTCCTGCGGGTGTCTACCTGCATGGTTCGCCATCGTGATCGGTAGCGAGTGTGAAAGTGACGTGCACAGAGAGTTTATGGTATCTTGGTTCGATCGCAAAAGGCGCCATGGTCTCAAGATCATGAATGTCGCGTGTACGGTTGTGCGTCTTGTGTGGGAGAAGAGAGCAATCCCGGGAAACCAAGACTTGTATTGGGAAGATGTTGATTTGAAGGAACATGGACTAGATGTGATTTTCTGGTAAATTACTCCTTTTATCATTTGCATAAAAATCTCACGACATTTCGCCCTGCGCCGCGATGGCTCGCGCGACCTCCAGAATTCTATCGACTTCAGCGCCGAATCCATTCATGTGGCCTGTTTCGAGAATGTCATGGTTTGCATATGGCGAAACACACAAAGATATCTCATTCCCCTCGACCTCGGCCATTTGATCCACAAACTCGACAATCTCGGGGTACAGCAATTCCAACGCACCCGCGTGGACCCATACCCTGGATTTCGTGGCGAACGGGTTCCCTAGGAAACTGATGTAAGGGGACTTGACGTCCACAATGTGACTAATTTTCGGGACCAACGCATGTGCTCCCCACATGATGAATGAGACGGGGATATAGTCGGTCTTGAAATTCTGCATTCGCATTATTCGAGTTGGGTCGTCGTATCCTTTGGAAACATCTATCCACGGACTCCAGAGCAAGACGATCCTGGGTTCGGGAAGATTGAGGGTCGGATGACAAGATAGGTACCGCAGGAATCCTATGGCGAGATGACCACCCGCGGAGTCGCCCGAGACAATGACGTTGTCGCTGGAATATCCGAGTCCCAGGAGATGCACGTACGCGGACACGGCATCTTGGAGTGCGGCGGGAAAGCGCCCCTGAGGCGTACATGAGAGTCTGTAGTCGAGGAAGAGCGCGTGTGGCGCCACGTTGTGTTGAAGGAGTTTCTTGGCCATGAAGCCGGAATCTGTTGGGTGACTGCTCCCCACGACGTACGCCCCACCGTGGAAGTGCAAAATGACTTTTGATCGATTGTTGTTCGATGTCGATATCGAGTCTGGTGGCGGTGGTGGCCGGGGATACCACGTTGCGCGCACCGAGGTTGGGCGTATCTCTCCGTCGTCCAGTGGACCCATGTACATCTTTTCGGCCGAGGGGTGGATGGTGATGTCGTTTGGAAATCCGGATTCTGGTCCCAAAGGTTGAGGTGTTACCGGTCGATAGCGTGCTTGGTATTCCAGAAACCACCGAACAACGACGATGAAGGTCGCTTGGTGCCATGAGTATCTTGGGTGGACTCGATACCGGGGCGGGATGTGTTTCAGCATCACGACTGGAAGAATGAAGATGAGTCGAAGGAGGAGGGTAATCATGTTGTCGTTGTCGTCGTTTTGTCACCTCCTATGGAGAAGCTGCTCGTATATGTGAAGACGCTTCGAGGTAAGACCGACGGCAAGCTATACAGATATCGGGTAGATTTAGACGTCAAAAGGGGAGAAAGAGAGCATAGCCTTTGCAAGAGAAAAAGACTGGTGGAATCCTGGGCAGACATACCCTGCTCTATTATATCCGACCTCGCAATCTCTCGAGACAGGTCTAACGGTCACTTCTTTTCCGGAATACATGCAACTAGCCTCGACATGCATGCCGTATTCCCACTAACTGTTTCGGTAAATTAGGAAGGAGAACACGACGCCAAGACGGCGCAGAGACTCCACCTTAGACATTTTCACCTTATCAAATCGACTCAATTGTTTGGGTGTACGAGTGCGAGATAGTATGATCATCTGGACCACAACCTACGATATCGACAAGCTACAATAACAGGATAATGTCATCGAAGATAAACTGGGTCTATCATCTACCGAGTCCACCGTAGACTGACTGCTCTTTTCTTTTCCCAAGTAACATCAAGATTCAAGGTCCCTGTCAACCTCTCTGGCAACAAGCATTCCGACCTCAATGGCCCCATCGATGAAACCCCTCCACCCATCGCAATAGTCGGAGCTAGCAAACTTAAGATTCCCCAGGGGTTCCTGTAACGCGGCGAGGTACGTGGTCATGTACCCTGGCGAAAAAAGGGACCATGTTCCTCTGGAGTAGGGATCCGTCACCCAGTCCGTAGAGATCTATAGTATACGGCATTGGTCAAGAGGTGGTGACAATGACGATGATGATGACGAAAATGATAGTGACGACAGTGATATATTGGATCTCGTGGACCCGGGAGAGAAAAAAAACAACAACAACTCACCATTCGATCAACTTTCAAATCCGGATGGAGAGACTGGGCATCCTCGACGACCTCCTTGGGCGACGTTTGCGAGATACTCCCACCCGAGAAATAAATGAGATTTGTTGTGTGACTGTCTGGCGACGCAGAATGAGCGTCCCCGGAAACCATGGTTGCGATATCACCTTTTTGTCGTAGAGCAGCCCATGTCCGCCACTGCTTGCCCTGCGCTCGCATCCATGCTTTCTGCGTATTATTCGCCCTAGCCTCTTTGAAAGCTCGGGTCTTTTCATCAGGGAGGGTCGGGACGAACGCAACGTCCTTGAGAACGGTAAGAGGAATTGTGCAGATGATTTGTTTGGCCCTGAACACACGTCCATCTGTTGTCTGCACACGGCCCTCGGACGGGTTGGTATAGTCGATCGTCTCGACGGGTGTGGAGAACGAATATGACAAGGTCGTCGACAGCGTGGCGGCACCGTCGTTCCCTCTGAGAGACTTATGAGCATTGACTGCGTCGTCAAATATGTGCTTGGCCAGTTCTGTCTGCCCGCACGACAATTTGTACCGGGCCATGTGTGCCGTGTAAGCGTCGTGCGTGGCCCCTCCCAATACCCACCGCTGGAGGAGGTCGTAGTAGCTCGCTGTCCGGGCTGGGGGGCCGCTCATGAGCGTCGAGATCAGTTCGACCGCGCGTCGTGCTTCTTGCGAGACGGTACCGCGAACTTGGTCCAGACGGTCCGCCACGCTGAGAGAGTCGTACTTCTTGGCTGTTTCGAAGTCGTGCAAGGCGGTATGTGGATACGGGACGAGTTCAGAGGCGTGTGCTCCGTCTGCGTTGTAGAAGGTCTGCAACGCACCATCGAGCCATGCGTCCTATGCACCAAATGGATGGTTAGCAAGTGGAAGAAGGTGTGCGAGGACAAAAAACAAACAAACCATGTCAGGGAGGTCAAAGTCATTTCGAACCCCATCAATGATGACAGAAGACTGAATCGATCCTTCGTACTGCTCGTAGGCGTCTTTGATTTTGTCTTTCAACCCGTATCGGACGATCTCAGACCACACAAGGGGCTGGTGCCAATGGACATATGCCCCTCCGAGATCGACGACGTCGCCTTCTGCGGTCACGGTTGTCCATGTACGACCGCCGATACGGTCACGAGCTTCGAGGAGAAGAACGCTTCGTCCTAGAACGTCACCAAGTCAGTCACGGTGTGGTCAATCCTAGCTCAAACTTCGAGGGATCCAATCGCGAAGCCAGGGCATAGATGATGGACATATACACCTTTAGCTGTGAGATCTCGGGCGGCAGTCAACCCCGTATAGCCAGCGCCGATGATGATCACATCGTACAGAATCGATGGGTCGGCGTCCGAAGTAGGAGGAGAGATGACAGCTTGTGTAGGTAGTCCAGCTTTGGAACCCTGGGTTGGCGTGTATTCGAATCCTTCTGAAGTCGAGAGCATCTTTAATATTGGTGGCCGATTCGGGAACTGAAGTTGGACTTGGGCTCAGCAGTGAGAGAACGACGGGTAACGACCAGATTTATAGACGATTCATACCTCCCATTTTGCTAGCCACCACGACAGGGAAAAGTAAAGTGTTTCGTGCTCGGGTCGTCCGATTGTGGCATTTTCTTTTACTATTACAGTAGCTCGACCGTGAGGCAAAGGACGCTATACCAGATATACGCATTTGGACAAGTGCACGAAGCCACACGTCACATCGGACTAGGATGAGATCGGCCGAAGAGCTTCCCATGTCCCAAAAAAAGGAGCAAATAGTGATTTCGCATCTATTTGAGACACTGTCAACTCTCTAGTGACTTGTCGTCGATCCTGTCCAATCATCCCGAGACCAGTGAGAATTTCCGGGATGAGAACTCCCCCAGCCACCCTCATTCCCTTCTTTTAGGCGCTCTATCTCTCTTGCGAACATTACAACCTCTCAATTGGCTTTGACCTTAAGAGACCCCCGTGTCATCTTCACATTGGCTTATGAAATCTTGCCATAGGGAGGTACAATAAGGCCGATGTCCGACTTGTTTGTGCTATACTTTCACTGTGACCACCGGAGCAAACCAGCTTTGGGTTAGACACCAGAGAGCTGGTATCGGTTCCCTGCAAACAGGGGCACGGTCCGGCCTTTCAAGCTTCTGGCTTCTGAGGACCCTGCCTGAGTGTCATCGTTGGGCGGCCCTTGGTCTCGCTGTTCAAGAAGTGCTCTGAATCGCCACCCTGTGCAGTGTCCTGGCATGAGCAGCTTTGGCCCGAGATCGGTCAAGTCGGTCAAGGTACTTTGCAGGCGTGACTCTGAAGCATCCGCCAGATGGTAGCCGCCGACCAAGGCATAGAAATCGTGCTGCCTTCTCGAAGCGGTCGAGAAAGTGTCCAGTACGTGGTTGGCGATATTGATGATACCGGCGTGCGAACAACCTGTGAAGACGACCAGGCCTTTTCCCTTGAGTCGGCACACAACAACCCTTTCTTCACGGATTTCCTCATCCTTGATCCAGGTCCCTTGCTCGCACCCATGAGCCTTTTCGAATCTCAGACCACCGGAGATCCCGGTTTCGTAGGTAGTCTTTCTCGGGATCATGCCAGTCACTCCGAAGAAGCCACCCAGAATAGTCTCGGTAGCTGCGCGCTCAACGACGCAGGCTCCTGCTCTGGCGATTTCCTCACGGCTGGGATCTGCTTCAAGGCAGATTGGACCAGCCGGGTGCACTATCCCGCGATAGAGAGGTCGATCAGGAGGAATTTCGACAGCAAGTTCCGATCCCGCTGAATTGCGCGGCGCCTGGGTTGTTCTCTGTCGATTGATCATTTCGACGGCCTTGATTAAACCGCCAGAATGATCCCGATGCCAATGTGAGAGAAGTATGGTTTCGACAGTGCCAATGTCACCACCGCTGCCGTCGATCAAGCCGAGCCGTCTGACATTGCGCTCAAATGCTTCTGCTTCCGGGCCAGCGTCAAACATCAACGTATGGGTCTCTTCACCTTTTGTTGCAGACTGCGTAGGACATTTAGCCGCAAAGACGAGTAAGCGAAGTAAGAGGCTAGAACTTACCACCAGTAGGCAAAGTCCATGTGCACCACAACAAATCCTGTCCATCCTCATCTCCACACTGGCACCGCCACGAGCGTGCGTCCATTCTTGTTCTCCCTGGTGAAATACCAACGGGACACCTGTGAAACACCCGGGATGGTGGACGTCAGGGTGTTGAGATGGGCTGATAAGGTCGATCTCGTCGTTGACGATCGCTGTGATGGCGATGGAATCGAGTTCGACGAGGCTGTTTTCCATTCTGGACGTTCAACGATCAAAATCAAGTTTGCGGGATTATTGAACTACGCAAAACGACATTGACAAAGTAACTCCATCATCTTTATATGTCTAGTTGCTTGCCACTCCAAGAGCGTTCGATTCATCAAATGTCCACCGACCCAAGGCTGTGGGAGAACAAGTGGTAGTGTAGAGCCCGAAAGGAACATTACACTTAGCTTTTGCAACATCCCTTTGTAGTCGCCGAGTCCTCGGGTTCTTACAAATGCCCTCCGAATAGAATGGTGGAACATTTTGTGGTTATATCCACATCAATGGCATGACCTAAAACGAGCGGCCCGCGCGATATGGCGGACCGCACACCAAAAGGCCCACAATTCACCAAAGTTTTGCATTGCACGAGACGAGGGCAGCACATCTGAAATGCCCGCTTTCGGCTTTGCTCCTCGTAAGTCCTGATGGAAAACAAATCCCATCCTCGACGACCAGTATTATTAGAACCTGCTCAGTTGGCTCCTGTCAAAGGATTGCATTTCGCGGCTTCAGGGTCGCAAACTACCACCAAACTTCTACAAGTCGATGCGGGACTGTATCAACATATTGATTGAATAGAGTTCCTGAATCGGACTGATAAAGCTGATAGATCAACTGCTCATTTGAGTCAATATAAGAGTCGTGTTGAGAAACCTGGGAAACCAAACGACATCTTCTGCGTTGAGCTTCAAATAAAAACTTGAATGAATCAGTCTTGGCCTCAAATTAGTTGTTCCCGAAAGCCTCACCTCTGATTTGAATATGTCGGCCCCGGCTACCGAAGTGACGGAGGACAAAATCGAAGAAGACCAAGACCTCCAGCGCATTCTGACTCTGCGCAGACACGTCACAACATTCGAAGCTAGATGGGCAGATTTTCCTGGTTCTTATCAAACTCCACATTCAGGAGCCAGGCCATACCATCAAGAGTCACCTCTTTAATTTTGCGAGTATGGCTAGCTGGCCACGGTGGCGATACCCAAGCCGTGTGCCCCTCTCCTTCGAGCACGGTCGACTTGACTTGCACCCCTACCGACTCCGACAGCCACTTGGCGTAGATCACAGCATCGTCACGAAATTGATCGAACTGTCCGCCATACACGAAGACTTTTGGTGGATGATCCTGGATGATCTGGGGGTCGGTCAAGTCCAGATTGACTGGCGAGAACCAGGGAGAGTCGAGAGTAAGACGAGACTCGAGATCCAGACGTAGCGCTTCGTTGGCGACCTTGTATTCGAAGTCGTCGTCTCTAGATCTAAACAGGTCTCGATATTGTAAAGGAACAATGGTTTCGGTAATTAGGAAGGGTAAACCTGAGAAAATTCCGGTGATGGGGCTTCGAAGAGAAGTCAGTCCAACAAAGTCTTTGACGCCTGCTCGAGCTGCACCAGGTATGCTTCCAATGACCGCAGCCACGGCGCCACCCGAACTGAGACCGCCGACCACAAAGCCGCGACCAAGATCGACCTGAGCTCCAGCGTCTTTCAAGACACCAGTGTTCAGATTGTTGCCATCGGACAACCACACGCACACGTCCCAGGCCATCTGAACGGGTGCGGGAAACGGCTGCTCAGGGAGCTGATTTAGGGTTGGACATGCCACCACACAGTTGAACAGCTCTGCGAAGCCGCGAGCAGGGGCTAAAACTAGATCAGGGCTGCACGCTGACAGGCCGCCACCGTGAAAGAAGACGATCAGCGGACACTGGATGGGCGACTTTGCCGGCGGGTTGGGCCACACCACTTTGGTTCTGTTCGCTTGGGTACCGGCCACGGGAATATCAATCCATGCCTCACGCAGGTGAGATGGACATGGACCAATGTACTCGAGGCCAGCAGCCTCAGCTTCGGCCATAGCCTGACGCTGCTCGTCCACTGACAGAGGCTTATTAGACGCCATTATCAGCGCAACGAGGGCAGATTTTTCAAGTGTGAGAAAGGTTATGAGGAATCATAGGGGTCGTAACTTCGATTGTAAAAGTCTTGTAGAATCTATCTATCAAGGACACGAATAAATCCCTCGAATCGATGTTAGTAAGCGGTAACGTCACTAGTTATAGTCCTTTTGCTGTGCAATTCTCTCTCCCCAGACCTCGGTACAGAAGCTAATGAACAGCCACTGGTGGATACCTCTGGTTGCCTCGCCAACTTCGCACACCGCTTGGGATAAAATAGTTTGTGTCTCATTCTGCTTTTTGGTAACCCCTACGGCAGGCACCGAAATTCATCCCTTACCCCGTACACTGTGGTTTGGCGTTCAATTCTTCGTCAGGCAATGACTACCCTTTGAACATTCTCCGGCTTGTATTTCGGGCAGTCATCTAGCTTCCCCAAGTCATACCACCCACCATGACCTCCGCAGCTCTGAATAGGAAGTCCATCGAGGTCTTTGTTCGATGGCGACGGCTGACACAGTCGGAATCTGCGCAAGACGAGGTCGTTCAGGAAATAGGTTCTGGAGATGGCCGTTCCCTGTTGTCAATCTCCGTAAGCAGGCAGGGTCAGACAGGCAACCAGTCGTGGACGAGCCCTCCGGCCTTCAAAGCCATATTCAATCCAGAACACGACAACGGGGCGATATTTGACTCGATCGTTGCGCCTGCTATCCCGCGGGTTCTACAGGGTGGGAACTGCAACTTTTTTGCATACGGACATACCGGTAGCGGCAAGACACATACAATCCTGGGTTATAATTACGACGCTGAGAAAGAGCTCGGATTGACTCTCGCGGCTGCTCGCCAACTTTTTGAGGCAATCCACGTCTTGAACGAGGACAATCCTGCCGAAGAGAAGCTGGGAATTGGCTTCAGCTTGTTCGAAATGCGAAAGAAGTCGGCCTTTGATCTTCTCAACCGACGTGCAGAGTGCCACATCAGAGAAGGCGCCGACGGCAAGGTTTACATCCGCGGGGAAACTGAGATGCTCCCGGGCGACAAAGTCAGGGTCTGCCCAATCGTCAAGCAACCCTGCTGGACCTATGGATCTTTCCGCCACGAGCTGACTCAGGCCCTTGGCCGCCGAGCCGTCGGCTCGTCGACTCTTCACGACCAGAGCTCCAGGACTCACGCGATCTTGGAGTTAGAAGTTATCTGCCAATCGCTCGTAGATGCACGTCAGGCTGTCATAGAGCGGCAGTCAGAGTTGGTCCCGGTGGGAAAGCGTGCGACCGACGTCCACCTGGAGGAACAGTACAAGGGCCTCATCGCCCTTCCAGAGGGTGGATGGGCATACAACCCCGATTATCAGATCAACCAAGAGCGCATTGACGCCGCCGAAGCCGAGAAGGCTGACTGCGAAGAAAAGGTTGCTGCTGCAGAAGAACTTGTGGATCAGATTCTCGAGTCGTGTGCATCTCCCTGCCTGGGGGCCAAGATGGTATTTGTCGACCTCGCTGGTGCTGAGTACCAACACGAAAAGGAGAGCGCTCGACCACAAATGGCCAAGCAGACCCCTCAAGAGCGCCAGGAAGGTCGTCAGATCAACACGGACCTGCTAGCGCTGAAGGAGGTGATGAGGGCCTGGTCCAACAATCAGCCGAGAATACCATTCCGGTCGTCGGCACTGACCATGGTGCTCCGCGAGCATTTCTTGAGTTCGGAAAAGGGAAATTCGGCCATGATCGTCACCGTCTCACCTGCGAGGGACCAGTACTCTGCCACACTGAATTCTTTGAAATACGGAAGTCTGGTTGGCGTTGCAGCCGCATAGGTGCAGTAAGGGAGTCCATCTACAAGCATGGAGTCTATGAGCAGGAAACCCCCTGGTTACTAGCTAATGGTTGTTTTACCTTGCAGGCACCAAACGACGACTAAGTACGTGGTCATGTAAACACCCGGTCACAATTGGCGGCCACTGACCGCAATTTACAATCACCGGACACTAACACCAACACTACCCGTGCATCAGTGGGAGAGACAGCCCATATACACCCGTGCGGCCGTGAAGATCTGCGTTTGCGAGGACGTCCGATTGAGGGTATCCTTCGGTCCCTTTTCGGCCTGCAGAAGAGACTCCTTGTGTCTGCGGACACGAGTCCCGCTCACGATAGGAGAGCCGATGTACACCGCGAATACAAAGCAGCGCATGGTGTACAGAATACAGATGAGTTGTGTGTGAAGGGGATTGACTTTGGCGGCACATCGAGCGTGGGATCCTTGTCCGGAGAAATTGGCGAATTGCTTGTCAGCGAGCGTTGCCAGGAGGCCTTGAAGGGCGCTTCTGTGTTGGCCTGCGGAATTGCGTCGAGGTGCCTTTCGACCCTCGTCTCCTCCTACGATCATCACATCGACATTGGCGTGGAGGAGTGGGAATGGAATGGAGGCAAGTGCACGGGACGGTGCGGCACGGCACGAGACAAAAGGACAAAAGCACCCCTTAAATACTACCACCGCCTCGCCAGTACGTCCTCCTCCGCCTCCATGAATTGTCCGCCAGGGCGGAAATCCTGCAAACAATCTAGTTGTACATGTATGATGGATAAGGACGAGGCGTTTGGTCAGCAGGGCAGACGAACCACGCCCGACGGAAAAGGTAGAACTGTAGTTCAGCCAACCAGCCCTGCCAGCCCAGCTTGTTGTACATACCTCTACATACGTCTCGTACTCGTACTCGTACTCGTACTCGTAAACTAGCCCTTATCCTCGCATCTGCTCAGGCAGCGAGTTCCCCTTTCTGCCACTTTTGCCCCTTTTGCTCAGATATCTACACATATTATGCCTTGATGATCCACCGAAGTGAATCTGACGCACTTTTGCCTGATATCGCCTGCTCGACAGTAGTGATTCTTTTCGAAATAACGCCTGGAAACATGTCGAAGAGATAGATACACCACACCATACACACCATCACTGTGTAACTCGACCACGGGCGTGTCTCTGATCAGGGAGTGAGTTCTTGTCCAGACATCACCACCCTTGCCGACTTGTAACGGGCCGTACTCACAAAAGATTGAAAAGGGAAAGGGTCGGCGAAGAAGATCCCAGACGCCGTGAAGGGACAATGGCTTTTGCGGTACGTGCCCCGAGATCGACCAGGGCGTGGTCCCACATGTGTGCCTAGGAGACCTGCCCATTCCGGGGCTCGAGATATTCCAGCCTTGCGGAATTTTGACCATTGATTGGTCGGAACCAGGTTTACCTACCTCGTTTACACAGGGTACTGTGGCCGTTGTCACACGAACACAGCTCCAACTCAACTCCAACAAGCAAAGGGGGCGGGACAGACAGAAATACAGACAGATGCAGGCAGATAGACCCGTCTGTACAGACAGAACCAGCTGAGTCGTGAAGAAGAGAAGCTGCGAAAGTTGAGTCCCATACCAAGGCGTATATAGCTGGAAGGGTAGGTATCGTGTGCGCCCGAGTGCCGGATCTGGTACACATGACTCTCTCTCTCTTGCTCTTCTGAGCCAGGCATCAAGGCAGGTCATCTCACATGATCTTCTCCATTTCGATAATATTGAGACTTGAGTCGGAAGTGTGGAGGAGTGCAGAGTAGGAAGAAATCAGTTCAAGACTCAAGATTGAAAACCCAAGGATATCTTTGTTTCCTTTTCCCTTTCCACCTCTCTTCCACGCGTCTCTTTTTTCCTTTCTTTCTTTCATTCCCTGTCCTCTCTCGTTCTGTTGAACTTTTCCTTCTCGCGTTATCCATCAGTCGTGGACTCGTCGCTCGTCGCTCGTCACGTCTATCTCATAGACAAACATAACACCACCAACACAGCGGAACAGGCACAGGCACAACGTGTATTCGTCTCAGGTTTGCTGAAAGAGAACATCCACCAATACACACATAAACAAAAGCAAAAAAGGTGGTCTTCTCTCTAGCCTCTAGCTGAAGATCTTGTCAAAGTATTTCATAAATGCGTTTCTGTAGATTCAAAAGCAAAGATTGCCACAAGTCAGCATTCGCATGCGCGCATGTACGCAGGCAGGCAGGCAGGCACTGGAGGTGATTTGATTTTCACAAGACTCGTTGGATGAAGTAGCGCGGAAGACGCAAGATAAGGAGGAGGATGAGAGAGAGGAAAGGGGTAAAGAAAGCACGCATGGATGGTGTATACATAGGTAGCCCAAGTAGGACGAATGAATGGGCACAGAGCATAGGGGACAGGAGAAAACTCACCTAGGCGGTCGAGGGACATAATTCCGCTCGTATTCTGCAATCTCGTCCATGTCGCGGGTCAGATCAACCTCGTGCGGCTTGAGCCACTTTGTCTTTTTGAACCACTTCCAAAACAGAAACAGCGCGGGAAACACGCCGATCATGGTGTAGCTGAACAGGAAGCTGGGCACGTCCCAGAAGCCCGGGAGGAAGACGGTGTAGCCGCCGACAAAGGTCATGATGAAGGTCCCCACCAGGGCGTAGTAGGCCGAAAAGGGCTGCCACCACGACTTGTACGGCAGCGTGTTGCGGTCGATGCCCTGCACCTCGAGGGCGCGCTTGAACTTGAGGAACGTAAAGGCCATGACGGAGAAGTTGATCAGTTGTGACGCGGTGACCTGCGAAGAAGGTGATGAATGGGTCAGCACAAAATGGAGTCAACATGCGTTACGGGGGACTGGTTGTGAGAGGACGAAATGGAAATGTATCCATTTGTCCCACTCAAGGGGCGAAGATGCTGAAATTAATGCTACAGAGGCAGAAGAACGTACCAGATTGACAAACCAGCTCAGCACCACGGCGGCATCGTTGCTGACTTGCAAAAAGCTCAGTAGACTGATCAACAGCACCAGCGCCACGCAGTATACCGGCACCCCGTTCCTGGTGCAGCGGGTGAAAAGCTTGGGTGCTTTACCCTCGAGCGCCAGCCCAAACAGACTCCGACTGGCGCAGTAGACATAGCTGTTACCTGCTGAAAACGCGCTGCCTAGAACCATGGCGTTGACAATGTGGGGAAGGACCTTGATTCGCAGTCTGTTCATAGACACCACGTAAGGAGACGCAGCGGCGCCGGGTTTCCCTGTCGAAAAGGCCTCGGTGAGTTCTGGGTCGTTGTACGGCACAAGAATGCCGACGCAGAGGGAGCCGAGCATGAAAAACGCCGTGAGGCGGTAGAAGACGGCCTTGTACGCCCTCGGGAGGACTTTGCGTGGATTCTCAGCCTCGCCGGCTGCCATGGAGACGTAGTCCGGCCCGGCGATGGTGAAGGATGCTTGGATCAGACACTGCAAGAAGCCCAGAAACCTGCCCAGCGAGCCGTCGTAGTAGAGTTCCGTGAAGGAGCCTGGGTTGTTCCAATATCGAAAACCAAATCGATCACCAAGGGGATTTCCGCCCAGCATGACAATAAACGTGTAGATGATTAGCCCAACGATCAAGAGGACTTTGCCCAATGCGAGCCAAAATTCCGTCTCCCCGTACCACTGCACGGCGAACAGATTGACCAGGGCGTAGCAGACAATCACAATTGCGATGATGCCACCAGCGGGGACGACGTCGCTCCAGAAGTGGATGATCACATTGCACGCCACGATTTCAAAGGGGACCAGCATCGCTTCGAAGACGAAGAAGTTGTAGCCTGCAGCAACGCCAAACGCTTCATCGACATAGCGACCTGCAAACCGGATAAAGGGTGAAGAAATGGGGAGATAGGTGACCATCTCTGCCATGCAGTTTGTGACGCAAAGTATGAATGTACACCTAGAGACATGCACTTGGCATTAGTTCACAGAAGTCTGGTCTCTGAATCTGGATATCTTCATCCCACAACATGTCCCATGCTTGAAAACGAGAGTGCTTAAGCAAAGCAGGAGATATGCCGTGGCAGTCACTGAGCAGGCACCGGCTTCCGACCTCTAATACCAAGGCGTTTCTTCTGTTCAGTATGCCCTGCATGATCCACCGTCTCTGAAGCTGAGGAACAACATGAAGACAGAAAGAGCCTGACTTACCAGATGGTAAAGGCCAGAAACAAACTCCCAGGCCCTCCATTGAGCAATCCTCGCCCAATCTGCACGTACAGAGCCGTGCCAATCGTCCCCCCAATACCTATCAGTTGAATATGTCGGGGCTTCAACTTCCGATGGGTGCTATCATATCCCACTTGAACGCTGCCGGGATAGCTAGGTGTTTCGGCCAGTCCATAATTAGCCTTGAGAGATGCCACGACGGATTGCTTGCGAGAGCCACGTCTCACAGCGTGCTCCTCATCGTCGCTGTTGGATGGGGAATGCACGCCTCGCGCAATCGGAGTTTCGTCCAGCAGGTGAGGAGGTACGCCATCCTTTTCTCCACCCAGACTATGACGGTGCGAAGAAGGCATTGTGGGAATTCGGGGGTCAGAGGAACGAGAGCACAAGGAGAGAGCAAAAAGAATCAGAAGGACTTGTGGATAGATAAAACTGGACCCAAGGAGAGCTCAGGGAAAAAATCTCCAGATGTATATCGACGTAATGGCCGACTTTATCGCCAAAAAGCATAATCCATCCTCTTGAAGCTCTGGCCTGATCCCAGATGGGACTCCTCAGGGTGGCATAATCAACCTCGTCGTATTGGACATTCTGTTCACCCAAGTTCTTGGTCCTGCGGGTGTCGAGGCTCGGCGAGGTCTTAGCTCGTGGATCATTTTACTGTAAGCTGAAAGGAATTCACTGTCGAGGGAAGCTCGAGTGAGATGCCGCGAGGTAGCAACGGCGACTGCAACGGGAAAAAAAATTGTCATGGGGAGGATGGAGTTGAGTGGAGGAAAGTTGGAATGAAGCGTCTGGGCTGACGATTCTAGGGTTTTCTTGGGGAGCTTCGGGTGTCTTGGCAAGGCATTAAGGGCGGAGTGGTGCTTGGGAACGCCTAGGGTTAGTTAAGGCAGCCGATAGTCAGGGAAGCCAAGGGGGAGGGGGTGGAGGAAGGGGCTCAGATAAACTTCCCATCTTCCTGCAGAGTGCCCCAGTACCCAATATCCAGACGCCTAGCATCTGTAGGTAAAAAAGCCCCTCAAGCTCCCACCAAGACGCCCTTCCCGCCCTTCAAGCCCCAGGAGGCAAGAACCATTTCTTGGCCTGCCTAAGTACCTTTCTAGGTATTTGCTAGGTGTGGGCGTACCTAGTGGGTAAGGTCTTTGCCCGTCCACCGACTTCCGCCTGTGGGCACCTGCGTAGTGGCGCTGGTGGTGGCGGCGGCATCGACTCTGGCTTCCCTTATCTTGCTTTGAAGTGGATCATCACCAGCTCTTTGAACATCACCTGAAAACTCGGAATCCCGATCGACGACTTGCAAATGTCCCTTATCGAAAATGTACCTCTAGCATCAAATCAGCTTCTCCTTTCTCTGGTGTAGATCCTTTACAAGCTTCCCAAGGCGTTCTCACAAAGACCATATCATATCGCAGTCATGCTGAACTCTTGGACCTCAACACTATTCCTGCTTTCAGCGTCCTCAATAGCTCGAGACATTACTTTCCCGCCAGTTTCGCCACTGCAGGCAAACCTAGGAAGTTATGCGGGCCAATATCGAGCATCCGTCGCCTCGGGCCAGGATCCCTTGGCTGAGTCCAGCAAGTACTCTGGGCTAACCACCTTTGCCAATCTTCCATGGTTACATTGCTTATCGCCCGACGACAATGTCGACAAGTATGATATTGCCTTTTTGGGAGCACCTTTTGACACAGGCACTTCGGCTCGACCAGGGGCGCGATTTGGTCCAACGGGAATCAGATGGTAAGCTCGGCCACGAGGACAATTTCCTCCTGCGACTTCCCAGCCGAGGGCCATCTGGACCCGACGATGTTCTGACTAGACCTGAGCAGGGGTTCTAGACGAATTCAAGCTGCTGCGGGATGGGATGCGTACACCCATGAGAACACGTTCCTGAGCTGGGCGCGCATCGTGGATTGCGGCGACGCACCACTCACTTTTCTAGACAACACCGCAGCCTTGCAACAACTTGAAAAGGCGCACAGGGTGGTTTCTGGCCGAACAGCCAATGCCACAGAAGTGGCCGAAGTCCCTCGCATCATCGCGTTGGGAGGTGATCACACAACCACGTTGGCGGCATTGCGCTCAACCATCAGCCATTGGGGCCCTGTCAGTGTCATACATTTTGACAGCCATATAGATACCTGGGGTATGGTCGCATTTCCCCGCCCCGACTCTCGGAACCGAACCATGCGATTGACAAAGGTTCCAACTTGTCAAGCGCAATTGGCCCGAGGATAGGTTGACCCAATGCGGATAGCAGTGAATTTGGTGCTGACTATTGATTCCGCGCGCAGACCCCAAGGTCATTGGTGGCGGGATTTCCCACTATGCTGGGCTGAATCATGGCACATTCCTTCATATTGCCCACGAAGAAGGCCTCATTCTCAACTCTTCGGCACACGCAGGCATACGAGCTCCAGCCCTCAACAAGAACTATGACTGGAAAAACGACAAACGCTGCGGGTTCGAGATCATAACTGCGAGGGACATTGATAAAATCGGTGTTGCGGGTATCATCGACAAGTTGAAAGCTCGAGTGGGCGACACGAATGTCTACATCTCGGTCGATATTGACGTCTTGGATCCTGCATATGCTCCGGCCACAGGTACTGCTGAAGTCGGCGGCTGGACCACTAGAGAGCTCCTCAGTATCTTGGATGGCCTTGAAGGTGTGAAGGTGATTGGAGCTGATGTGGTGGAGGTTGCTCCGATATACGACAATCCTGGAGAAACCACTGGCCTCGCAGCTGCAGAGGTAGCCCACCGACTCATGAACCTGATGGTCGAGACTCCGGTGAAGCCATTGAGGAAGGAAGATGGTAGGACTTAGAGAGCAGAGTGTACACCTATAGAAAAATGTATGCAATGCATGTAGCCTTCTCTGTTACATTAGCAAAGCACACGCAGTCGACAAATCGATACGGACAAGGTGGAACTGACACGTTACCTGCCAATGTGGACGACGTGGTGGTAGTGGTGATGACGATAGTGGCTGCTTGCGCAGTTTGCGATCGACAGCCACAAAGTCTCTCGATATGGCTGTGTTAGACCATTGGGGAGAATGATTTCACCATTCAACTGCCAAGTCGCTGAAGCTCGCAACCAGTTCCAGATTCAACTTGCGAGCCGGAACACCTGGGTACCACTGGTGTCATTGGCAGCGGAGACGGGGGAATGACAATCCCATCGAGGGGCAGAGGGCCGAGGGGTAAGCCACGAGGGGCACCTGCGAGGGGCATTTTTCTTCGCCTGATTGCGACAAAGGAAATTTGCCGCAGCCCAGCTTTCAGCTTCAGTCCCGGACAAGGGATCGAAACACTGTCACCCGATTTCCCTCGTGTTTCCGTGGCCAATAGCCTAGCCTACCTTCCAGACCCCTTTTGATCCAAACTCCCCAAGTCCCAATCAAGTCAAACGTTCGGTCTGAGGAGTTCCGCTTGTCTAAGCTGTGGGAAGAGTATGTAATCAACCCTTGCATACACTCTCAGAGGTCACAGGGGCAGTGCACCGTCTGTGGTGTTGGCATGATCCAGCTTAATACCTTTGACTCCAAGTCCAGAAACTGACTCTTGTTGTTCACCCTTTCATCTTCACAGTGTCCGACACGAGTCGAGGTTTGTCTTGCTAGACCTTCACCATGGCTGATCCAACCTCACCGAGCCCTTATTCAGAGAACAAAAAATTCGAGCCCAAGGTCCCGGTTGAGCTACAACCACCGAAGCACGATGAGATTTCGCTGGAAGAGTTGAGCCAGTGCGACGGTACGCACCCGATCAGAGACCTGAGCAGATACTTTCAGTGCGGGGAGGGGCGGGAATGCTGAGATGTCGACTTTGCGATAGGAACAAATCCGGACAAGCCTACATGGGTCGCGATCAAGGGCACTGTCTTCGATGTCTCCAAGAACAAGGCGTATGGCGAGAAGGGTCAATATCATGGTACGACGGCACTTGCTGTCCCACCCGAGTTCCTCGTTTGCCAGTTCCAATACTAACCAGAGCTCTGTGCAGTCTTTGCCGGCAAGGATCCTTCTCGTGCCCTCGCGCTCTCCAGTTTGAAGCCCGAAGACTGCGTACCAGACTGGTATGATCTGGACGACAAGTACAAGACTGTGCTCGACGAATGGTACACCTTCTTTAGCAAGCGGTATAACATCGTGGGCAAGGTCAGTACATTCAAACTACAAAAATTATGAAAGAGGAAGAGACAGATTTTGCCGAGACGCCCGCACGGACCGGGTGGGAAATATAGAACAAATACAAAGCGCTCGAGAGATTGCGCACAAGAGCAGGTGCAGGTCATTGCCAATCTCAGGACAGGTGCTGACTATCATGGCGTCTGCCTCTAGGTCGCGGGTGCTCAGAATACGGGGTAAAAGTGACGGGCAGCAGGAAGACATCGATTTATTGCGACGTTCAGGAAGATACCCCGGACAGAATTAGGAGAGAGCGCGAAGCAGCCCTTCGCTCCGGTGGCACGGTTGGTGCCACATATTGCCCAATGCTCAACTGCAGACTGCTTGCGGTCCACCCATACAGTCAAATATATCAACCTTTCCGTGACTTCCTGGCCTGACGCTTCTTTGCGATGATGCGATTCCTTTTCGCAAGGCGATTCTTCTCCTCCGGCTCAACCGGTTGCGGGACTTTCGAGGCCTTTGAAGATGACCCATCATCGCTCTTGTCTCCGCGCTTCCGCTTCTTGTTGACCCTGCCGTTAGCCTCTGGTTTTCCTTGCTTGCTGTCCTTGGCACCTTTTCCTCCCCATTCTCTGGCTCTCTGTTCCCTCTCATTCCTCCGCTGGATAACCTGGGCGTTTTCAATGGCGAACTCCACAATCAGGCGCTTCCCTCTGTCAGAACCAGCATTCTGGGGTTTGACCAAGTGCCCATTGAGCCAACGTAGGCCGGCCAGAGCATTCCGATGACTGACATATTCGATGAAGCCGTAGCCTCGACTTCGACCAGCGCCTTCTTTGACTTTACTTCCTTCCTTATCTTCAAACACAACCTTCGCCTGCTTGACAATCCCTTTGCCAGACAGCTTGCGTCGACGTTCGGCTTCTTGCATCTCGCTGCCACCTCGCTGTAGTTCTTCCTTGCTCAGAGGCTGTCGTAGGCCTTCTTTAACGTCCTTGGCAAAGCCGACCACGGCTTCCCGAGCCAGTGCCTTAAGTTCCTTGCTGCTGATACCTCGCGGAAGATTCCTAACACTCAGACGGGTCAAACTGAGACATAGGTTCGGATTGGTTTTGATCAGTCGCTGCCGTTGACGGGCGCTGCTCTCTCTGATGTCAATCTCCGCCTTGCCTAGCTGCTCATAGAGCTTCGACCCCTTGGGAATGGATCCTT